TAATTGTTTTGTTTTAATACATATATTTGTTTATATATATATATATATATATATATATATATATATATATATATATATATATCGGTCTTGTTACAAACTTTATCTTCAATGACAAAATCCAAGTCCGACATTTTATGTAGTTGGACATTTTTCAGGAAATATAAACGCACGTGTTTCTTTTTCATCGTCCTGGTTCGAATGAGTAATTTTCTATGTTCTGTTTCTTCTGGCCGTGGGTAATCTCTATCATTTGTAGCTCTTTCTAAGGTGTGTCTTATCACTATCCTTCACAATCCTTGTTATATCATACTTCCCATTTGATATTCTTCCATCCATTTACAGAAGACCATTAGGTAGGTCACTTGTCGCTTTCCTTTCTCTCTATTGTCTTCAATATGTCCTTATGAGTGTCACATTTTCCAAACCCTTCTTTAATTACCCCAGACTTTTGTACAGTCCAATGTTGTTGTTTTTTGTTGTGTTTTATTTTTGCTTCCATTTTCCTTAACGCTTTCGTTGTTACAACGATATTCAGGCAATAACGTTCTCACCATCCTTCTGTAGAACCACACTTGTGTTGCCTCAAGTCTTTTTATCATTCGTGTCAGCCATTCACGTTCATATTGGAGGACCGATATTGCAATAACAGTTCTTTGATTGTGTTGTGATGAGATAACCCAACTTCCCCATTCACGATAATGGACGGTCTGGTGGCCGATAAAGTACGACCACAGGCAACAGTAGAAGAAAAAGATCTTCGTTTGTAACACCTATTGAGGTTAGCCTACTCCTGACTCTGACTGTATTTTGACACACCTATATCCGATTATAAAATTATTATTGAAAACCAACACTCGGATTTACTTTGTTTATTATATCTTGCACGAGATATAACAGATTGCATACTGAAAAAAAAAAACAGAAAAGACCAAGGTACTCTTCGGAAAATATCATGAAAAAAATAGTAAGAATTCATCTCGGAACGTCAAAGTGTAAATATCTTTTTGTAACTCTCCTTGTCCCTCTTTTAGTTAGAACGGCCGTTACGCCCTGCCAATACCGCATCAGTAATAGGCTATTCCGTTTTGATCACCTGAAAAGACAGAAAAAATATATCAGAAGCGCTACTTAGTTCCAGTGCAAAAATGAATGAAAGAAAGAAAAAAATAAAGAAAGGAAAATGGAAGAGGTGATCAAATTCTCATGTCTTTAAGATCTGTTTCACTGAAATGGAAAAGTTTGTAAATTTTCAATAATTTCATTTATATCTCCTTACTTAACGATCAGCATTCATCTTAATAATTTTTTTCTTTTGCAATGTTTTATTAAAATTGTTATGATCAAATATATTTAATCTCTAGGGATATTTTATTGTCATAAGTTTCGTCCTGAGCTTATTCAATCTTTAATTTGAGAATTAAGATAAACAGAAAATGAAAATAGAAAAACAGTGAAATTGTCATGGGCATTTCTAATTAATAGAAATATGAGTCAATGACAGAGTTCAGAACAAGGGCGATAACCGATGTATTTTAAGACTGAAACTCTCCAGAAAAAGACTAGACAGGATCACGGTAAATAGTTGGCGAATCTGGAGAGATATCTGCAAAGACGGTATTTTTAACCGAGTCGTCTCGCAGCTGGCATCTGCAAGTGTCTGAAAGATGGCAATATTAGCCGTTCGTGTTCATGAAAGGTCAGCTTAGTTATCCTTATGTGTCGTAAATAGGAAAGGTTAGAAAATAAGAAGTAGTTCATTCTAGAGAATAATATGGCACACGGTTGAATTAATGTAATAAACAGATAATCGTTAATATTTCGTTATTTACCCAAGACATTCCCACAAGGCGGGATGCGGCACAAGACCGGCTTTTACCGTGAGTTTTTCCGAGCGTGTACCCTCGGACAAAAATTCCCCGAAGAGCCAGTATTGACGGTGTTGGGCAGCTGTCTACCTCCCCAAACGAGACTCAATTCGTAGATGTAGCTTCGTCTGGGTTCTTCTCTGACCGAAGGCAGAGAGGTCGACTAGCAGAGCTTTAACGAAATCTAAACATTAACTCATAGGTATTTACCTAAGTCTTCCCGACAAGGCGGGATGTGGCACAATGCCGGTTTTTAACGTGAGGTTTTCCGTGTGCGTGTATGTTCGGGCAAATATTCCCCGTAGTCCGAGCAAAGATGGGTTCGGGCAGCTGAAGATACCAGACGAGACTCTGCCGGTAGGCATAGCCTCGGCTGGGTTCCTCTCTGCCCGACAAGAAGAGCTTTAACGATCTATAAGCATTCACTTAGGTACCTCCACGAGATCACCAAAGAAAGAGCATAACATGATGAAAAAAACGCCAAACTTGAAAACAAAATTTTATCGTCTATTGATGTTATTAATAAGAGGAAAGGTCAAAGTTTATTTTAATTATTTTTAAAAAAATTTTCTTTCTTTTTAGAACAATGTGAATTTTCATTTAAAATCCTTGTTCTCTTTGTATCACCGGAACTAGTAAAATAACATATACAATTTTTAGCACTTTTTTTTTCTATGACACACATTAACTTGGAAAATCTTTCAAAAATAAAAATAATTCTTAGATGTTAATGAAACTTTCAGAAACTATTCACCGATGATCGAAATTATTATAAATATGTTTTCTTTTATTAAAGTTATGGCAGAAATATTTTTATATACCCGCACCCATAACTAATTTTATGAAAACTATAGAAATTCGATCGAGTCGACATTAATAATTACAAAAGTTAAAAACACAATTTCGATGAAAAATGAATTTTTAATACAATTATTTGTTATTTATTAATTATAATAGATTTTTATATTTAAGCTGTTAAAATATTATAACATTAGATAAAAGCCGCATCCACTTTCGTAAGTGTCCTTATGAGATAGATCATTTTTAGCGCGTTGTAAATTGTATCGTTTTGACTAATCAGAAGACCCGCAGTAATTAAGAAATGTAATTTTGTGTTTATAATCGGGTTCTAATTATAAAATACGGAAGACCAACCAGAATACAGTTAAGTTGTGTTATTTGAGTTAAGCATTGTTCTCCACTGTTAAGGCCTTTACTTTTGCGAAACACGTGTGGAGAATTTGATTTGATTTTTCAATTTCAACTGCGAAGGGTACCTAAAAACATCAGTATCATCTTATGAAATTTATATGATCTTATTTTTATATCAATCTCACTTATGGCATCATTTCCATACATGAAATAACAAAATTAATAAAATGAATGGAAATACAAATAACACAGTAAAATGTAGTAAATGTACATAAAATTATAGTATTTTACATACACTTCTGATAAAATTTCATAAGAAAGGTATCTAATTAATTTACAGGTACCTTTCTTATGAAATTTAATCTCACTCTTAAGAGTCTTATTTTAATTTCTTTATAATATATTTTCCATAAAACATCGTAAAGCGAAGTACAAATACAAAAAAAAGTTAGAGCGCTGAAAGTTTTCCTTAAAAATAACGATGTAAATAATTTGTTCACTTAAATATAAATAATTTCACTTTCCTCCTTCCATAGAATAAATTATCCTCACGGAATCCGTCAATATGTCATTCATCACCTGTCAAGTGACGCGAAAGTTTATGACCTGTTTTGTTTTATTTTCAAACTACATCTTTTCGGCGCAGAAGCTAAGTTAGGCTTGGTTCAAAATATTTTAAATAAACATTATAATTTCTGAATTTCTTAAAAAAGTGTTGAAAAAATGATAATTGATATTTAAAAAAATTTCAAACTGAGATATTCATTTTTTTTATAAAAAGCAAAAAATGGATGCCATCTGTCAATTTTGCTGACACAAAAAAAATCAAGATTTTTAACGAAAATTTCGTACATGCTAGGAACGATTAAAAAATTAAAAAAAATAATCCCAAAATACTTTGATCTTTCCTCTTAATGATAACATAATCATTTAGACGATAAAATGTTGTTTTCGTCAAGTTTGGCGTCTTTGACATCATGCTATGCTCTTTTTTTAGCGATCTCGTGGAGGTATCTACATTAACTACTCTCGCTCAGTTACAGAGAGATCTATGATGACATTTTGTTCTTCCACATTTCTCGTTTGTTGGAACTCACTGGTACTTTCCTGCCAACTATACATACATAGATACATATATATATATATATATATATATATATATATATATATATATATATATATATATATATATACGTCGACAGTACGGAGTTTCATGTTAGAGTCGTACTGTCGGTGTAGAGCATTATTTATATATATTTATTTATATTCATTTATTGCTATGTTATTTTACATTGAGCACTGTTTTTCTTACACCGAAGGATAGACATACATATGTATAAGCATATACAGATAGATAATGAACAGGTTTAGGTACGTAGATAGATAATAGACAGGGTTAGATAGTTAGATAAGGAAGAGGCAGGGATAGATAGATAGATAGATAGATAGATAGATAGATAGATAGATAGATAGATAGATAATGAACACTCTTTGTAGATAGACATCCTAAGAAAACGAGAAATTCATTGAAAGATATGTAAGGAAAGAAAATGGCCGTATTACAAAGATCCAAATAAAATAAAAAAACATGAAAAATGGCCTTTAAATCAATTCGTACTTAGTCGAATTCGTGGGAGGCAAATAAATATGTTATATATATATATATATACTCGACGCACAAATGTCCACATAAGATTTGAAGAATATTTGAATTACCCTGAATGGGTATTTTTCCCTCTTCCAGCCACGCTCAATATGTCGAACTAGAAGCTAATGCTTTGCCAATCGACTAGCTGGTCTGCTCTTTCTTCGTTGTCCTTCACCGTCAAAGTCTAAAAATAGCCGGGACGGACGGAAATTATGTTTCTATTTAATAGATGCAATTGGCCGGAAAAGAGAAGGAGGAACAGAGAGTTGGGGGAAAAATCTCGAGAATAGATAAAATAGGGAGAGGAGAAAAGAAATCCAAGGACGAATAAAGAATTAATAGCTGCAAATAACGGGAAAGAAGATAAATGTTTGAAAAATGAAAGAAAGAAAGAAAGAAAGAAAGAAAGAAAGAAAGAAAGAAAGAAAGAAAGAAAGAAAGAAAGAGGAAAGACAAAAGAACAGAGTCACAACAAAAGACAAAAGAAAGAGGAACATGGCGAAGAAAAAAAGAAAGAAAGGAAGAAAGAAAGAAAGAAAGAAAGAAAGAAAGAAAGAAAGAAAGAAAGAAACACCGAAAGAAAAAGAAAGACGGAAAGAAAGATCAAAGACAAAAGAACACTCACAACAAAACGCAAAAAGAAAGAGGAACATGTCGAAGAAAGAAAGGATGAAAGAAAGAATCACAGGAAGAAAAAGAAAGACGGAAAGAAAGAGGAAAGACAAAAGAACAGTCACGACGAAACACAAAAAGAAAGAGAAACATGGCGAAGAAAGAAAGAAAGGATGAAAGAAAGGATGAAAGAAAGAAAGAAACACAGGAAGAAAAAGAAAGACGGAAAGAAAGAGCAAAGACAAAAAAACAGTCACAGCAATACACAAAAGAAAGAGGGACATGGCGAAGAAAGAAATAAAGACGGAAAGAAAGATCAAAGACAAAAGAACAGTCACAACAAAACACAAAAAGAAAGAGGAACATGGCGAAGAAAGAAAGAAAGAAAGAAAGAAAAAAAAAGAAAGAAAAGAAGAAAGAAACACAGAAAGAAAAAGAAAGACGGAAAGAAAGATCAAAGACAAAAAAACAGTCACAACAAAACACAAAAAGAAAGAGGAACATGGCGAAGAAAGAAAGAAAGAAAGAAAGAAAAAAAAAGAAAGAAAAGAAGAAAGAAACACAGAAAGAAAAAGAAAGACGGAAAGAAAGATCAAAGACAAAAAAACAGTCACTGCAATACACAAAAGAAAGAGGGACATGGCAAAAAAGCAAGAATGGCAGAAAAAAGAAAGACAGAAAAAAGAAGGAAGAAAAAGAAAGAAAGACAGACAGACAGACAGAAAAAGAGATAAAAAATGGAGACAAAACAAAAAAGAAAGAGGAACATGACGAAGAAAGAAAGAAAGAAAAATAGAAAAGAAGACAGACAGAAAGAAAGATCAAAGAAAAATAATAGAGCCATAACTAAACATAAAAAGAAAAAGGAACATTGTGTAGAAAGAAAGAAAGAAAGAAAGAAAGAAAGAAAGAAAGAAAAAATCTATAAAGATCAAAGTAAAAGAAGAGAGACATAACAAAACAAAAAGAAAGAGGAACATGGCGAAGAAAGAAAGAAAGAAAGAAAGAAAGAAAGAAAGAAAGAAATATCAAAAGAAACTGCAACCTCCTTTATTATTATGAGTGGGGCGTAGTTGAACTAGAGAACAACAAAACTCTTTGTAACACCAAATATGCGTCCTGGGTATGACGATAAACTACATCCGCTTCCTAGGTATGCCGATAAACTACATCCAAAAACAAGGCATCAGGAGGTTTTAAGGAGTGTTTTAACCACCTCTTAATTGCTGGTGTTCCCAGGTCCTCCCTGACTCGGAGTGGTAGCACCTGTTAGGGTCCCAGCTATGGGAAAATAGTTAACCCCGAAACTGAGGTATAAAGCATTATGAAAGTGTAAAAATAGGTTTTAAATCCAGAAATATTTTGTAAAAAATTATTACCAGAAATAAATTTTCGAAGAAAAAAAAACTATTACCAGCAATATATTTTTGAAAAAAAAAATTACCAGTAATACATTTTTTAAAATAATATTACCAGCTATACATTTTTGAAGAAGAAAATATTACCAGAAATAGATTTTTGACAAAGAATATTACCAGGTAAAAAAAAGGTTGTCGGCATTAAATAACCCATTGAGGTTGATATACCGTAAAACAAACCAAACCAAACATGAACTGAAGGCAAGGATTATGGCGTCATTCACCAACTTCAACAAGGAGACCGTCCAGGAGATTCTGAAGGCTGTGATGGAAGCCAATGGCGATTTTATTGAATAAATTTACTCTTTAGTATTCGTTAAATAATATCGATAGTCAGGTCTCTCCAATTTTTTATTAATTTGTTAAAAGTTCCGAATTAGTTGTTTGCTGCAATCGGTAAATTTACCAGTTATTTTTCTTTCTCGAGTATTTCGAATGTTGCTAAATTCGTTGTCAAGGGGTTCGTTTATTGTGTGTTTATTCAAATGTAGCTGTTTTAGGTTAATTTAATCGTTCACTCGTTTACCAGAATTAATTTCATTTCTAAAAGGTGAAAATGAATTTTTGCGTGTATTTTAATATTTGTTTATACACCATTCAATATACGATGCCCTATGGGAAAAAGATACCATATTTAATGTTGTCTGATTCCCTTGTATTAGTGAAGTCGGTATAATACCAGTGAAGCAGCTAACATTATATCAGATATCTTTCTCCGTGGAGGATTTTATATTGAAAGGTGTATAAAAAAAGTTCGGTCGCCATATTTGACATCACCTTGATTCAGATGAAATTAGTTCCAGCAAATGAGAGAACACCTGGAATAACTAAAATCAGTTACATATATATATATATATATATATATATATATATATATATATATATATATATATATATATATATATAGATAGAGAGAGAGAGAGAGAGAGAGAGAGATAGATAGATAGATAGATAGATAGATGCATGTTTCATTAAATAATATAGACAAGTTTTGTCTATTTATTTTCTTGCATGGAGTATTGCTGCCATATATGGGCTGGAGCACCTTCTGCTTACCTCGGAGTTCTTGACAAGATCCAGAGAAGGATATGTAATCTAATTGGCCCTGATCTAGCGTCTTGTTTGCAGTCACTCTCTCACAGACGCCGTCGCCTCTCTCTGTCTTTTCTACAAATATTTCCATGGTAACTGCTCTGATGAGCTGCTCTCTCTGGTTCCCAGACTCCATGAATTCAAGCGCCCTACGAGGCTGGCATCCCGCTCTCACCCTTACACCGTAGAAACCTTCAAATGTAGCTGTCTCTTCTACTCCAATAGCTTCATACCTCGCACCTCTCGCCAGTGGAACACCCTCCCCAATTACTGTTTCCCTGAAAGCTATAATCTCCAACTATTCAAATGTAATGTCAATCGACATCTCCAATTACCTTGATCTACCCACTATCCTTCTCCTCTTCCTTTCTCCTATCACTCTTATCTGCTCTCGCTCCAAATCTTCCGCAACCCCCTGCATCCTAGTCGCTTCACGCCTTGCTTAGGGCACAATGCTTAAAAAAAAAAAAAAAAGTAAGTTCCTTTCATATTGTCTCTTAAGCTTAATAACATTATATATATATATATATATATATATATATATATATATATATATATATATATATAAATAAACAGACCACTTTAAAGTTCCAAGTAATAAATTATTTCACCACAGCCCTTTTAAAGGACTGCGGATCATCAGACTTTACTTCAAAAAAAAAAAAAAAAGAAAGTTTACAGAAGTGAACCGCTTAAATGTGTCAATATCTGCTAACTTACTCATGTCTTTTCTCTCCCCTCACTTCCCTCACTTCGTTAATTTACATATGTTTAATACGGCCCTTTCTCCTATCACTCTTATCTGCTCTCGCTCCAAATCTTCCGCAACCCCTGCATCCTAGTCGCTTCACGCCTTTGCTTAGGGGCACAAAAAAAAAAAAAAAAAAAGTAAGTTCCTTTCATATTGTCTCTTAAAACATTATATATATATATATATATAACATTATATATATATATATATATATATATATATATATATATATATATATATATTTCACCAACAGACCACTTAAAGTTCCAAGTAATAAATTATTTCCCCCTCACAGCCCTTTTAAAAAGGACTGCTGATCACTTTTATCCAAAAAAAAAAAAAAAATAAGTTCTTTTTCAGAAGGTTAATAATATTATATATATATATATATATATATATATATATATATAATAGACCAAACAATTACACCACAGCCTTTTAAAGTTCCAAGTGAATAAATGTGTCAATATCTTAACTTACTCATGTCTTTTCTCTCCCCCACTTCCTCCTTCGTTAATTTACATATGTTTAATACGGCCTGCTCGCAAAAATCTTGTATCCTAATTTTTCTTAGGGCACAATGCTAAAAAAAAAATTTTGTTTAGAGAACAGACCACTTCAAAAGTTCAAGTAATAAATGAAGTTTAAAAGGATGCGGATCATCAGAATTTTCCAAAAAAAAAAAGGAAAAGAAAGTTTACAGAAGTCTTAAATTTGTCAATACTAACTTACTCATGTTTTTTTTCACTTCCTCACTTCGTTAATTTACATATGTTTTACGGCCCGTCAAAAAATGTAAATTTTCTTTTTTTTGTTTGGAAGTAAAGTCTGATGATCCGCAGTCCTGTGGAAATAATTTGTTATATGGAACCTTAAAGTGGTCTGTTTTTATTTAAATTATTTGCTCTGGATTTACATTGAGCTCTCTGGATGTTATCCTCCTTAGGTTTACCCATACGGATTACCTAGTTTTTCATAAACTATATATACATATTAATTAGTAGGAGGATTTGATAATAATATTTAATTAATTCATCGAGTCTGATAGAAACCTCTACAGAATGCAGGAAGCACTGGACGTCCGTTTCGTACTATATTTGGTACTCATCAGCAGTGCGCATCCACTGCCGAGTATCGAACCCTGACAGTTGGGTGGTCAAGCGAACACCATACCAACTATTCCAAATGGGCCTCGGTGACGAAGAGATTCCAAATCAGACTAGTCAGATTTAGAATTAGAATTTTGGAACTGCTGATGAGTCCCAAATATAGGACGAAACGGTGCTTCCTGCATTCTGTAGAGGTTTCTATCAGACTCGATGAATTAATTAAATATCATACATATAGATAGATAGGTAGATTAGGAAATATATGAGGTCAAATATAATGTCCACCTCAGCTTATATTCAGCAATGTGAGCCACAGAGGCTAACTTCTTTCTCTACATTCAATGTAACACAGCCATTTTTATGTGCAGGGACCTACTTCAATTCTTTCCTTTACCAAAGACAATCAATATGGCGCTGAAATCCACACTGAACTGGCTCATAAATATGCCTTTTAGAATAACGTATGCAGTTAACTTCTATTTATTGTAAATTTTCTCACGCTTTAATTCAATATACCTTCTTTTTTATTTTGAGCCTGTCCCGATATAATCGACTGCAGTAAACTTTGTAAATGGATTAATTATATTCTTCAATATTGGCCGTCAACGAATAGATTCTTTCTTTTTTTTCCTTATTCATGAATTCAATATTTCATCAGTAATTTCTTTCTTAAGGAACAAGATATCGTATGAAAAACCGCTCAAATGTATAGTTTTCTAAACTACCCTAATGTATACTTTTCTGAAAAGTAATAAACAATATGTATCGGTTCAAAGACACCGCTTATACATTGGGTTATCCAAATATAAATATTTCGTTAAAAGATCAGACTGAATAACGTATGGGTAATAAAGAAAACTAAATCCCCCAAACGAACTGAATTTTTTATAAACGAACCGCGAATAGATTACGCATGCGTATAAGTGACTGGGAGCGTCCTCAACGCCGACTCAGTCTCAATAGTGTAATCGTTTTTATCCGGTGAAATTTTTATGTTTTATATTGAAAATTATTTTTTATGAGAGCTTTTGCTAAAACAATAAACACAAACAGACAGAAGCGAACGAAAAGAAAATACAATTAACGTAGATATTAAAAAGGAAAACGTTTCTAAACATGAAAGTGTTAAAAGTTAGTTTAGCGCAGGGAATGATAAAATCAACAATCGACACTCTACTCAGAGAGAAAGATGAATTCAGTTTTGTTCAGGTAGCCAATGGAATAACCAAACTTAACAAATCACGTAGGGGCACTGTTGTGAATATGGATTATCTCCTCTTTGATAATCCAAGCTATAAAAGCTGTACATTTCCGCTTGTCAAGTAGACGGGTAGTAAGATTCGTCTGCGACTGTCGAACTCTCTGCATTAGCAGAGAGGAACCTGGACGAGGCTTTGCCGAAGGGCAAGGTTTCGTCCGGGGAGGTTGACAGGGCCTGAACCCGTCTAGGCGGTTTCAGAAAGGCCATATTTTTGGCCGAGCCTACGGGCTCGGGGATACCCACATTAAAATGGCCTTGTGCCACATTCGATCCTCGTCGGTGGATTGATAAATACCGACGAGTAGTAAGATTCTTAATCGAATAAAAGATTACTAGACAGAATCTCTTGTCCTGTTTTCATTACAGGCACATTGGCGTGGTTCAGTGGTCGTCAAGCTTGTCTTGCTAGATCAAATTCGACTGAACAGTCCTCAATGGGTGCCCCATACCTTCAACTTTAGAAAGTCATTTTAGGGTACCTCAGCATGGTTTAATGGTCAGCCATCTTGTCTCGCTAGATTAAGTACGACCAAATAGTGAGTTCGATCCTCCTTGGGTGACCCATTCTTTTATTTCAACTAAATATATTTTAAACAAAATTGTATGCCTTCAACTACAGATAAAATGTATTGTTGTTCATTTTACTATAAATATGTATTGTTGGCCATTTCTTTTATATAAAAATATAGTGTTGGCATTTCACCTTTATAGTCGTTTGTTTGGGGGTTCACAATTTGGTTTTAGTTGGGACCCTGGCAGGTAGAACCGCCCCTATTTAGGATAGACCTGGAAACAATGGCAATTAAGAGGTGGTTCCACATTTATCAAACCTCCAATCTCCTTTCTGCCGGATGTATTTTATCGTCATGACTATTCACGCTTATGATGTAAAACTCACGAGAGTTAGAAATGTATCCGTTTTCATGCTTGACAAGAATAAATTCAATTTACAAAACATGAGGCATTTATTTACATTAGTTAAATTCAGATTTTTTCCTCATTGTCAATATCACAACGTTTCGGACGTTTTACTCTCCGCTCATCATCGGCTCATCAGATTCTTGTCGATCGGAGTAACGTTCAGATAATTTCGAACTTAACACTTTATTAAATCTTCCGCGGTAGTTAGTTTTCGTTCTGCTGGCCAATTCTAGGGATATCTCTCCTGATTCTAGTTCAACACTACCCATTTATTGCTTGCCCTGTTTCCACTGATGTCGAGGTCTTCACTACCACGCATAGTAATTGTACTCACAATTACTATGTCACCTAATTCACGATACTGCAGTTTAATCCATTGATTGTGCCCCCCCGGTTTCTCTTTCCTACTTCGCTGCTGCTGCTCCCGTTAAAGCCGTGTTGTAATTTTTCTCTCTTTATTAACGGTTCTCATATTGTACTTATTCCTATGCTAGGCCCACTGAGCAAGTTCTCATAACCTTGCATATGCGCTGATACTTTTAGAATTCGAGGAAGGTGAAATTTCATTTTAAAATAAAATTACCTAAAATATTATGAGCTTCGATTCATGCTTAAAATATGCTTCATTTTTTGGAATGATCTTAGACTTGTCGTTTTTATAAGGATATTGGTAGTAAAATACAAATGAATTTGTTAGTTAGGTGCGATCGGTTTGAATGTAAGACATGTCTTCCTCTGTTGCTGTATTTAATATCGAAGTTTGGATCGTGCCTCCACTGAGAATCAAAAACACTACTCATTATCAATGGTCAACCAAAGTAGTGACGTTAACGATTTTTTCAAGATCATAGTAGACAATATATTTCTAGTTACAAGCTGGAATTTTTTGAAAGACTACAATTCAAATTAATCCACATATAAGAGTATCGTATAAATGGTTTGAGGTGTAAAACGGTTAGATTTGGATAAACGGGATGAGAAACTCAAAAGATAGAATCTGAGCGCAGAAAAGAATGAATTCACCTCTTTTCCTAAACACAGAGGTGAATAGCAGTGAAGTTTGGTTGGCAACTATAGGAGAAGGATAGCTATTGGACTAGCAACTTACTTTAACCAGTATAAAGGCTGACAAGATCTATTTTGATTATATATATATATATCAGCGATGGGTTTGCTAAGCAGGTTTCTGCCGCAGTTCGACATTGTTACTTTGCCGCTAACACCCGTGTAGTTTTCTCTGGCAGGACCATTCTTCCGTCTATACGTAAGGATGTTCTCCCACTACACCATAATAGTTCACTAATTTATTCCTTTAAATGTAGTTGCGGTTCGCACTACATAGGGAGAACGACGCAAAGGCTAGATGCTAAAATAAAACAACACGTTCCAGAAAAATCCGAAACCGGAAGTACACTCCCTCGGACATTCTGACCAATACGTATGGGTCTTCCATCGCAGAAAACCTTATAAATAGTCATAATTGTTCTGTTAGTTTTAGTGCGGACGCTTTTAACATCCTTAACAAGTCCCACTCAAATGACCACCTAAAAGTGTTGGAGGCCATCTTTATTCTATCTTTAAATCTTTCTCTTTGTAAACAGAAGAACTTTATATTAGGCCTCCAACTAATCACCACTTATTTTTTTTCCACCAATAAACTTTGACCGTTTTTTCTTTTTTTTTCTCATAGAACTAGCAGCATGACCCGGCGTTGCCCGTGCTTGATTCAAAAATCGTACGACTCATACAACAATCGTTATCACTTGACTTAAAATAGTTTTGCCCTTCCTTGCCTTTAAAGGAGTTCCCTTTGCCGTGCTGATGTTGCTACATGCTTTACTTCTTGCCTATCTCACACTGCGAATTTTTTCTAAGCTCTATACTAAACATTAAATCTGTTACGAAACAAGAACTAAACAAAATGAACACAAAACAATCAGCTTTAAAAAAGGACTCGTAACTAGAAAAACCGAATGAAAAAAGAATTTTAACAACAAATACTTTTTCACACGCAACCCAGTTCTGCGGAATCAGAATCAACGTTGAGTTTAAGCAAGCGAATGAACCAACTGGAGTAAAGTGCCATGCAGATTTAAATTTTTCCCACTTGTGACGAATGCAGCTATCGATTTTTGTGCATGCTAGCATGTTAGTTAACATTCATGTCAGTCAGTTGGTCTTGGCCTTCCATCTAACCCGGAGCATGTGCATGTAAATTTTGTTGCAAATCCGTAGAAAATTGCGGCCGTGCATTCGTTACAAACACATCCTGCCTTTTATGGTTAAAGATTTACTCTATTTATCTCGATTTAGCTCTGTTGAGCGGGGTACGAAGCCGGTTAGCTAGCCCGTTTATCATTTTTACTTTTTATTATCATGAGTTGTAATAATAAAACTATTTTTGTCTTTTCATGGCAGTGATAAAAGTTTGTACCACCAAACATATCTTTATATATATATATATATATATATATATATATATATATATATATATATTGTTGTAGAGTAGTTTTCACAGTGGAGGCTCGTATTTCACTAAGTCATCCTAAATTAGGTCCGACGTACAAAACCTTAGGAACTTGAAATAAGAGTTAATGACGCAGCAATCTAGTTGTGATGTTTGATACTTCAATGTCCGACATCGACTGACTCACTCCACTCCACTGAGCTCAACTGGCGACCGCTACTACTACTACTACTTATTATGTGTGGGAGAGTCTATTAATAATAGAATAGGTACGTTCAGGTTTGACAATATTATAATCTGTTACTTTGGAACATGCAAGTTACCACGGCAAAAATAAATATTTGTTCCTAAAGACAAAAATCAAAGTCAAAAGTGCATCTTTATTTCAACGTCTAAAGAAAGAGGTAGATAGATATTTATTATAAACTGTGATGTTGCCTTGGGTGGTTAAAGACCTGGTAAGGTGCCTTTAGACGTCGAAACAAATATGCACTTTTGTCTTCAGACCTGCAAACAAAGATGCATTTTGTCGTGGTAACTTTCATGTTCCAATATCACAGTTAAATATCTATTGCTCTATTCTTGTATTGAGCACTTTTTAAATTACTGTTACGAACGTTTGGATTTATATTCTTTTTGTTCCTTTACAGTTATATATATATATATATATATATATATATATATATATTAGGATTATGACTTTTTGTAACCCTATGTTTCTGTGTCATAAATCGATGAACTTTTGTTCAAAGGTAATGGAAAATACATTAATTTGTCTTAGTTCACGGAAAAACTTTATATATATATATATATATATATATATATATATATATATATATATATATACACTGCATATATTTAAGCAGCATGTTTTCATTAAGACAACTCTCATTGAATAATTTAGATAAGTTTTGTCTATTTATTTTCAGTTGGATCCTCTCCTATTCACAATATTTAGAACATTTTCATCTTATTTAGAATTGGAATGTATTTGATTGAGACAAAAGATTAATATGTTTAGGGATAATTGAAGAAGTATTATATTCTATTTGTTTTATATTAAAATTTCCTTTACGATATCCAAGTTTTTCATCAACAATACAATTATGGAAGTTATTATTAATAAAAGTTTGTTTTATATTTTTTTGTTCACTGTAATTTAACTCTCAGATGAATACATCAATTTTGACTTAGAAAAAAAAAACACACTGACGATGAAATGATGCTAATGTCGAAAGTACTCGGAATAAGTAAATACGTATCAAC